TCTCTCTCTCTCTCTCTCTCTCTCTCTCTCTCTCTCTCTCTCTCTCTCTCTCTCTCTCTCGTGCGCGCGCGCGCGCGCGTGCGCGCGGAAAAAGGGTGGAGAGGGAGAAATAGAGGGACAGCTTGTCAGAGCCATTCTCTCCTCACGCCATGCTGGATTTCGTTTCAATCAGGCACATAATTTTCTGATGATGTTTACGGAAACAACTGTTCCAGTTGTGTATTTGACTAGTGCAAGGCCTCATGTGCTTGTGTGTGTGTGTGTGTGTGTGTGTGTGTGTGTGTGTGTGTGTGTGTGTGTGTGTGTCAGTGTCGGTGTGCTGTGGACTGTCACTGCAAAAACCCTTTTATTTTTTTCCTTCCAGATGAGCAGATCCAAAATTGAAACAGGTTCTCCTCTGTAGCAAACAACATGCAGCACATTACGATGCGCAGATCCAAAATTGAAACAGCTTTACCTCTATAGCAAACAACATGAAGCACAATAAAACCATTACATTGCCTTTTCCTTGTATGTGCGTGATTGCTTAGCGGAAGGTAACTCAAACAGTCTTTGGGCTGTGATAATTGCTTAGAAGTCACCTTGTGATAATGGCGAACAACATTAGAAGTTCACCTTGTGATAATGGCGAAAAAAATGAAGCACTATGTTCGAGGGTATGTGCACTCTGCGTGTACTCTCACCGGAGCCTAAGAAGACTTGATTTCACAACAGCTGTGGAAACAACCAAGGAGTACAAGGGGGGAGGGCAAGGGAAAAGGACCAAAAAAAAGAGGAAATGACGGAGGAGTGGGGAGGTGAGAGAGAGAGAGGGGAAGGAGGCAAGTGAGCTAACGAGGTAAGGAAGACAAGGAGGGAAGGGAAGCGAGGGAGCGTTGGCAGTTGAGCGAGATGAGAGAGCATATGAGGCAAGGGGGTGATGGGAGAGAAGGAAGACGTGGAGAACGGAAGATGGGGGATACCTGGGGTAGGGAGAAGTTGGAGAACCAGGAGAAAGGGTATTTGGAATTGACAAATGTTGAAAGGGCCACAAAGGGCGGCCATACACAGCTGCACTCCTTGACTTGCCACTGCGTAGGGAGAAACTGTTTTTTGGGGGGCGGGATGGTCATGTGAAGGGTGGCGTGCAGGGTAAGAGAAAAAGAAAAAGAAAAAGAACTGGTGGAGTTGGTGGGGCTGGCAGAGCGGAAGAATCTTCCAAAACCTGCTGACAAGGCCGCTATGCTCCTTTGGCTACACCCTTGCTCCTTGTTTCTTACCTCTGACTCTATGAGCAGTGAATGTGTATGTTAAGAAATACAAAGATGCGGACAGAAAAGTAAGGAAAAAGAGGCAAGAAACTGCACATACCTCATTGATGTCAGCGCGAGTGACGACGACTCCAGGACAGCTGGACAGCACCACCTTCCGAATTCTTTGAGGGTAGAACTGAGCCAACCTTGCAGGAACAGATAGTTGCATGCACACACAGGAAGTGAAACACCGAAAGGGAGCACACACATTAGGGACTCTCTCTCTCTCTCTCTCTCTCTCTCTCTCTCTCTCTCTCTCTCTCTCTCTCTCTCTCTCTCTCTCTCTCTCTTTTCTCTCTCTCTCTCTCTCTCTCTCTCTCTCTCTCTCTCTCTCTCTCTCTCTCTCTCTCTCTCTCTCTCTCTCTCTCTCTCTCTCTCTCTCTCCCCCCCCCCCCTCTCTCTCTCTCTCTCTCTCTCTCTCTCTCTCTCTCTCTCTCTCTCTCTCTCTCTCTCTCTCTCTCTCTCTCTCTCTCTCTCTATCTATCTATCTATCTATCTATCTATCTATCTCTATCTATCTATCTATCTATCTATCTATCTATCATGACAACGACAACAACAGCAGCAGCAGCGGCAGCAAAAATAACAGCAACCATGACCACAACACCATCATCACCACCACCACAATGACAATCACAATCACAATCACCACGACCACAACCACACAATCACACAATCGCCACAACCACAACCACCACTGCCACAACCACACGTGTCAAAATGATAACCGCAACCGCAACTGCAACCGCAACCACCACACAACCATAACCACCATCCCCACCACAACGACCTCGACCTCGACCTCAACCACCACAACCACAACCACAAGCAGAACAACCACCATCAGCACAATAAGACCAACCACGGCGTCAACCATAACAACGACAGCCATGAAAACAACACTAACAACGCCACCAACACCAACAACGACAACAACAAAAACAACACGGCTGTGGCAGAGGCACCGCCTGGCTGGCAGAACATTCATGTACACGTGTGGGATGTAAGACATACAAAAAACACGGATACTGGAGTTAACCGACGAAAATGTTCATTGATGACATTATGTACCTGTACGCAATGAATCCCCCGTAGGAAGCACCAACTAGGTGGCATGACGAAATCTCGAAGAATGCCAATAGCGACTCAACACACGACGCTTGCCACATTTCTGACCGCTCTTTGCTGCAAGGAGACAGAGTGCACATCACCAAATGGAAATTTACTAATTAGTAATTACTAATTATCAATTGTCAATTCTGGTAATTGTCAAAGACATGATGGAAAGCAGTGCAGAACAACACAGTGAAGGGCATTGCAATTCCTTTCCTTACTACCGTTGTCCCCCGAACCCAACGCACCCTCATTTCGGCTGTAGGTGACCGGAAATATGGCTTGTATACATTCATTATCAGGGTGCATTATGCTTGGGGGAAGACCGTAGTTTTGACTGGTATTGACATAATGTGTTTCGTTTTGTTCAATTAATGTATTTCCACATTCTGGTTGAAGCACCACTCTTGCAGCAGGGCGCCTGATCATTGCGCATCATGGCTCACATTGGGACCTGCACTCCTTTGTCATTGGTTGACTGCGTGAGTGGCTGACGTCAGGTTGCTATCGCATCATGGCTCACGTAGGGAGTCTGTAATTGATTGACCGAGTGATTGGGCCGGTGGGTGGGTGGAAGGGTGAATGAGTCAGGGAGGGAGGGATGGACGGAGGGAACAAGGGACAGGAGGAGGGAGGGAGGGAGCATGC